GAGCCAGTGGAAGAGGACATGCTTCTTCGCGATTTGATTGCCCCTAGAAGTGTTCCTACAAGGAGAGATGATGTTGAAGCACCCGATGAGGAGGGTGAAGGTCCGGTGGAACTTAAATTGAATCGTTTGTTACAGAAGGCCTTGAGGGCCACCATTGCTACTCATCTACGGCCGGTACCTCAGCCAGTACCGCATCCCGTTGCCCAAGTTGAGGAGACGCCAGCACAGAAGCGTCTCAAGTTGATTTCTGGATTTTCTAAGTTGATGCCAATGATGTTTGAAGGCGGTGCAGATCCCATGGTAGCAAATGACTACATGGATCAAGTTGAGACTCAATTGACCTCTATAGATGTGATGGATGATCACTTGAAAATCATCCTAGCCACTTACAAGTTTTCAAAGGATGCCAAGTTTTGGTTGAAGTCGGTCACAAATCAGTATAGGATTAAAGAGATGGGTTGGGATAGATTCAAGGAGCTGTTCTATGAGAAGTACTTCCCTGCTCCCAAGAGGTAGGAGTTAAAGAATCAGTTTATTGGCCTCATCCAAGGTAGTATGTTGGTGACAGAGTATGAGAACAAGTTCACTTCTCTTTCCCGCTTTGCTCCAGAAATGGTGAAAGATGAAGTTGATAAGATTCAAAAGTTTATTTCCGGTATTAATTACAAAATGAGGCCGTTGTTAACGGCACAGGGCATCAAGGTGTATTCTGAGGCAGTGGAAAGAGCATTGATGCTGGAGGCGGAAGCCAAAAATAGAAATGCAGGAAAGGAACAATGGAGGCAAAAGAGGAATATAGGATCATCTTCAGAGGGACCTTCAGGAAAAAGGAACATGGGTGGTTCATCTCAATTTCAAGGGCAGCAGTCTGCACGATCCGCCCTTACCACTTCTATGCTAGCTGGGTCTGATAGGAGTGGAGTTGTTTGCTTTCAGTGTCAGCAGCCTGGACATTACAAGTCCAATTATCCCATGAGATCGTCTTCAGTTTCTTCAGCTCCGAGGACTTGTTATGGGTGTGGCCAGCAGGGCCATTTGATTCGAGACTATTCAAGTCAAGGAACAAGCACCACTAGTGGCAGAAGGTTACGACAGAGGCCATCACAGTTGGCTATAGTTCAGTCAGGTTCCAGACCATCACCACCACCACAGCCTGCCATATCTTTTCAGGGTTCACAACCAGCTAGGAGGGATACTCCTACTGTATCGGTACAGTAGTTTGGTGTTCAGATTGGTGGTTCTCAAGTACAGGCACCGCAGGGACGTGTCTTTGCACTTGCACTGACTGATGCATCTCCTGGACCGTCAGTTCTCTGAGGTATCTTTCCAGTGTTTAGTTATTGGGCCCGTATTTTGTTTGACTCTGGTGCATTTCATTCCTTCATTTCATTATCATTTGCACTTGCATCGGGGTTAGAGGTCAGTTTTATGGATCAAGCATTGTGTGTTGATACGCCAGTTGGGGTTTCAGTGTCTTTGAACAGAGTTGTGAGGGATTGTTTTATCGTGATAGCCGGGCGGACTTTTGTGTTTGACCTTATCCTCCTAGAGATGACTAGTTTTGATGTCATTCTCGGGATGGATTGGTTAGTTTCGTTTCATGCCACGATCGACTGTTTTAGAGGTAGAGTTACGGTTTGCACTCCTGAGAGAGACTGTTTCTTTTTCATGGGAGATCGAAGTGATTCCCAACCCTCATTATTGTATGGGATTCGTGGACGGAATCATGGTGATTAATTCTTGGCTAGTTTTTTAGTTGAAGAAGATGATGTCGTGGAAGAGGACTATTCTGCAGTTGTTCGTGATTTTTTGGATGTGTTTCCAGAGGATTTGACAGAGTTGCCTCCACACCGAGAAGTGGAGTTCACTATTGATTTGATGCCAGGTACCATGCTAATTTCTATGGCACCGTATCATATGACACCAATTGAATTGGAAGAATTAAAGAGGCAACTTGATGATCTGAGGATGAAAGGTTTCATCTGACCGAGTGTGTCACCGTGCGGTACACCAGTTTTGTTTAAGAAGAAGAAATATGGTTTTTTGAGGTTGTGCATTGATTACCGGAAGTTGAATCGTGCCACCATCAAGAATAAGTATCCTTTGCCAAGGATAGATGATTTGTTTGGTCAGTTGAGAGGAGCCAGTTGTTTTTCGAAGACTGACTTAACGTTAGGCTACTATAAGTTATGGGTTAGGGATGAGGATATCCCAAAGACAACATTTCGTACACGGTCCTTTTGGCTTGACTAATGCGCCGGCGGCATTCATGGACTTGATAAACCGCGTCTTTTATAATTACTTGGACTAGTTTGTGATAGTTTTCGTGGATGACATTCTCATGTATTCACGATCTCGGGAGGAGCACGAGGTCCATTTGAGTATTGTTTTATAGATTTTGCGGGAGCACCGATTGTATGCCAACTATGAGAAGTGTGAGTTTTGGCTACAAAAGGTGAAAATTTTGAGACATGTTATTTCAGAAGGTGGAGTGTCAGTGGATCCATCGAAGATTAAAACAGTTTTGAATTGGGAGCAACCCAAGAATGTATTTGAGATCCAGAGCTTTCTTGGCCTAGCAGGTTATTATCGGAGATTTGTGAAAGATTTTTCCCGATTGGCAGCGCCTATGACCCGTTTGACTCGGAAAGGGATCAAGTTTGTGTGAAATGAAGCCTATGAGTCATCCTTTCAGGAATTGAAGACAAGATTGACTACAGCTCCAGTGTTGGTGATACCTGAGCGTGGCTTGGGTTATGTGATTTATTGTGACGCTTCATGTGATGGTTTGGGATGTGTATTGATGCAAGATGGTAGAGTAGTGGCTTATGGGTCTTGACAGTTGAAGACTCATGAGTACAACTATCCTATTCATGATTTGGAATTGGCGGCAGTTGTGTTTGCTTTAAAGTGTTGGAGACACTACTTGTATGGTGAACGATTCGAGGTGTTCTCAAATCACAAAAGTCTCAAGTACCTTTTCTCCCAAAAGGACTTGAATAATAGACAAAGACGATGGGTTGAGTTCTTGGAGGACTACAATTTTGACTTGCAGTATCATCCGGGCAAGGTAAATGTGGTAGCTGATGCCTTAAGCCAGAAATCTCGTGGAACTTTGGCCGGTATGGCCATTCGGAAATGGAAGATGCATAAAAATCTGGCGGAGATGGGGTTACAGTGTTTTGATGATGATATTTGCAATGAGTCGACATTCTTGTTTAGTCTTGTGGCTCAGCCTACTCTTGTCGGACGAGTGATTGAGTCACAGAGATAGGACCCGAATTTGGATGTCATTCACGCTTTGATCTCCAGTGGTGAGACAGTGAATGATTAGACCTTGCATGCAGATAGAGGCTTACGGTTCAGAGATTTGTTAGTTGTTCCCACAGTCTGTCGTGAGGATGTTCTACGGGAGTTTCACACTTCCCGCTTTGCAGTTCATCCAGGTGGTACGAAAATGTATCACAATTTGAGACGTCAATATTGGTGGAATGGGATGAAGAAAGATGTTGCACAGTTTGTGGCTAAGTGCTTTACCTACCAACAGGTGAAGGCCGAGCATTAGAGACTAGCAGGATTGTTGCAACCATTGCCTGTAGCGCACTAGAAATGGGAGCAGATTGCTATAGATTTTGTGATAAGTCTTCTAAGGTCATGGAGAGGCAATGAAACAGTATGGGTCATCATTGACAGATTGACCAAGACGGCTCACTTTTTGCCTATTAAGGCAACAGATGATGAAGAGACACTTGGTGTGCTATATGTAAAAGAGATCGTAAGGTTGCATGGAATTCCAGTAACCATTGTTTCGGACAGGGATGCCAAGTTCACTTCGAAGTTCTGGGAAGGACTTCAAGCAGCATTTGGTTCAGCGCTACATCTTAGTACGGCGTTCCATCCACAGACCGATGGTCAATTGGAGCGTACCATCCAGGTCTTGGAAGATATGCTTCGGGCATGTGTACTTGACTTGGGTGGTAGCTGGGAAGATCATCTACCACTTATTGAGTTTGCCTACAACAACAGTTACCAGACGAGTATTGAGATGGCTCCATTTGAGGCGCTGTATGGCAGACCTTGTAGGTCTCCTATTTGTTGGACCGAGGTGGGTGAGATAGCCGCCTTAGGACCCGACATAGTACTCCAGACTACTGAAAAAATTAAGTTGATCAGACAGAGATTGCTCATAGCTCAAAGCCGACAGAAGAGCTACGCAGATAAGCGGAGACGACCGCTACCTTTTGAGGTAGGAGACCACATTTTTCTACGGGTTTCTCCACGGAAGGGTTTGATGAGGTTCGGGAAGAGTGGCAAGTTATCGCCACGATTCATTGGACCGTTTGAGATTTTGGACCACGTGGGAGAGGTGGCCTACAAACTTGCATTGCCACCACAAATGGACAGAGTCCATAATGTCTTTTATGTATTGATGCTAAGGAAGTATGAGCCGGATCCATCCCATAATTTGGATTGGGTTGATGTGGACATCGATGAGGATGTCTTTTATGAAGAGGGACTAGTGCAGATCTTTGACACACGGCAGAAGGTGTTAAGGGACAAGACGATACAATTGGTAAAAGTTCTTTGGAGACACCACGGAGTTGAAAAGGCTACTTGGGAGCTTGAGCAAGAAGTTCGCTCCAAGTATCTGATGTTGTTTTCTTTCCCAGGTATGGCTGGATTTCGGGGATGAAATCTTTTTAAGTTGGGGAGATTGTGATAATTCCAATTTTTAGCATTTTTCAGTTTTTCGGGCCTGACGGTTCCGTGTGGGACCCGCTACCGAGACTGTTGCGTACGGGTATTTTGATTGGGTCCATTTGCATCATTTTTATTCTTATTTGTTGTGTTTTAAGTGTTAAAATTAAATATGTCTTTATGTGTGCATGTGGTGGGAATTATAAAGGAAAGAAAAAGGAAAATAAAATTTGGTTGGTGGGACCCACCTTAGCTTTTTAGGAGACCATTGGGTCTCATTTCCTCCTCATTCCTGTAACTCTCTCTCTTACTTCCTCTTCTTGAATTTTCTTTTTTCTTTTGGCCATAAATCTTAAGATCTTGATTTTTCCTTCAATCCTTGGTCATTTTGGAAGCCGTTTGCGGCTATTCGAAGCTTACGACGAGAACTACGAGTTGATTGGAGCCAATCTCAATTTGATCATCATTTGAGGGATTTCTAAATTCTAGGGTTGAGGAAGAAATTTGGGGCTTTTCATTGCTTTTGAGGTAGGGGTCCCTAATCCACACAATCTTGCACCTTAGTGAGTTGATTTTACTTGGTTTATGTCCTAATATGTTAATTTGTGTTGATTATCTTTTAAAGTAACTAGAATTGTGTGGATGAAACATATGATTATGTGAAATAATTAAATTGATATGAAAAACATGCTTTACTTTAATTGATTGCCTTGAAAATAACATGATTGTTGTGCTAGAAAATCTATGACTATATGTGTTAATGAATTTAGGTGAAAAGTATGCTTAGATGTTAATTTACATGCCTATGATGTCTACTAACCTTCTAGATGTTGCTATGAAAGAGCATGTTAAATTGTGTAGTGTGAATTTCTTTTATGCTCATATTATTGGAGAAAAATGTGACATGCATTCCATGGCATTGGGCATTAATACTATGTAGTTTATATGCAAAGACCACATTGTTTTATTTTTATTTATTTATTTGCAATCCTTGGAATTTCAGTTATATTTGGTAGCCTACATATGTTGTAATATCGTTAATTATGCTTATCGATCATTTTATGATTTTCTTTTTTCTGATATTCTCTGATATTCATGACCATTTACGAATTTGTTTAGGCAGTTCAGTTTCCAAGAAAGATGAACAAGATGGTAATAACTGACTTGAACCCTGATGTGCTGAAACTACTTATGATTTTGGTTGCGAAATCATCAAATGAGGCTGCAGATCTGGCAAGGGCAATATCTGTGTAAGACTTTGCTTCTTTTTTTCCCTTTAAAATGAAATTCTGTGTCTCCTTGCAACTAGGCAACTAGTTGTTTATGTGGATACTTTGCTTATTCTCCTCACAATCTTTTGTTGTCAAAAGAAGTCCTTATTCTCTTTGCAATCTTTCTAATGCAGTTGCGAAGCTTTCATGAACATTGCTGCCTATGAGGATGTGTTAAGAGAAGTCAATTTCAGCAATGTAACGCTGCCAAAGCGCTATGAATTATTCCAATACATTAACGGTCTATTAAACAGATGTGCTAAGGCTGGAAATGTTACTGCCCAGTATATGTTAGCCAAGGTAACCAACTTTTCTTGGCTTCCAATTGGTTTCCGTTCTTCAATATTTGCTTGACCAACTATTATTAAAATTCTGAAACTGTTTTTCTCATCTTCATTACAGACAGTACTGGTGAGTGCTGCTCAGTTTTTCCTGATAGATATTCCTCACGATAATTCAGAATCTGTGGCTGCGGATCAGTACATTATAGATCGAGCAAGTGGCAGATTAGTTTCTGTCAATCATGCTAGGAGTACTTTCATAGCCCATTTTATAGTGGATCAGGCGTCTACCAGCGATACTTCAAATAGAAGCTTATGTCATAAACTTGTGAGGTTGTTCTTGTGCCAATGCAGCCCCCGTGACCTCATTGAAATGCGTCCGCATTTTGGTCAAATACTCCAAGTACTTCATTAGATCGAGAAGGGACGTAGATGGCTATCTCAAGTTCTTCAAGAATATTGGAGGGATGTGTACAATTGTCGACATTCTTCGATATTTTGAGAAACTTTCCAAGAAGATCATAAAATTGGAATATCCGCTCCAAGATTCGGAAGGGATTGCAGAAGAGTCGGAGAAGGAAGAGAGTGTATCTAATGCAAGGTATTTTGGCCTGGGAGGGAAATTTGATTCCTACACCGAAGAGTTCAATAAGCTTCACGCCTTGAAGGAGTTGGATGGGAATATTGGGGAATCGTCTCATCAGGTGAATGGGACACGGTCTTGCCCTCGATTTGAAGAGCTCAAGGCAGCATATCAGAGTGCAGCTGCAGATTTCAAAATATTTCAACTTGGTGCAGTTGTAGTTTTTGATCACTTATTTCCGGCGAGTTGATGTACATAAAGGCATGTGTCCTCTAAGCAGGATACAGAACCTCTTGAAAAGAATCTAGCTGGTGTGCAACTAGAGTTCTTTACTTGGTATTTAAGCTTTGAAGAACTATAACTTGTGTAATGTTATGTTTTTATTCTTTACTTGGTATTTGCGTAAATCTTTCTATACAGGTCAAACTCGAGAGTTCTCCATCATCAACTTCATTCGATGCCTAGTGCAATTGAATTGAATGAATGATGCATTTTATATAGGGTAAAGTGAGGAAAACAGCCCTATGCTCCGATTGTTTGGATGTTAAATATTTTTTAAAATTTTTTTAATTTTTATGTTATTTTTTCGTTTGGTTGTAGAAAAAATATATTTAAATCTAACAAAAATAATTTACTCGTTAATTTTTGACAAGTTATTTTACACACCATATTTGATAGATTCGACTTTAATCTTACATAGACCTTTTGCCAGAAAAATAAAAATAAATAAAAAAAATTTTTAATTGAAAAAAAAAAAAAAACACTTAATCATGTGCAATGCACATGATATTTTTAAGATATAAAATATCACTATTTTCCCTTCTAATAATGCACTAACGTCACTAACAAGTTACAACATTCTTGATACCTAGAATCCTTACAAATGCAAGAAAAATGTAGCCTTGCTTCTTTCGTTTCGTTTTATTTTTATTTATATTTATGACCAAAGCAATTTCGATTGCCCTTTTTAAAATGATTTAAAGTCTAACTATTAATGTAAATTGAGAATTGAAATTGCGTTTGAAGTATTTTTCAATTTAAAAGACTTGATAAGGAGTGAATAAGTCCATTTTGCTCTTGCTTTAAAAATTTTATTCAATTTTAGTGGTTTAAGCACAAAATCAATCAAATGAACACAATTGCTAAAAGAATTAAAGAGCAAGTAAAGGAGAAAGTAGAGAAAAATGAAGTGAGGGATTTTTTACTTGGAAAATCTCACCAAGTAAAAACCACAAAAACTAGTAGTTTGTGAGAAAAGAAAAGAAAAAAAACAAAAAAATAGATATAACAAGTTCCAATGTATTCGAAATTATTTTTCTATTTAACCTCTGTTATTTTTATTTTATTATTGTTATTATTATTTAATGATCTTAGATACAATCATTAATACTATCTCTCGGAAACACACAAGAATGAACAACACTCTGCTTAAAAGGTGAGTGTAATTAAGTTAAAAGAAATTGAATTAGAGAAATCTCAACTAATTCATCACTCAAAAAACTGCTTTCTCAATAATGTATATTGATTTAAGTTGTAGTTAAATTTTTATAGAGGGGTCCTTCATTTAGTTGAAAAGGTTTTTAGTACCCATAAAATGCTTATGTGGGTATATATACAAATAAATATTAGATGTGATAAAACTTTAAAATATTAGTAGTAGCAAGTAAGCTAATTTAGACAATTTTAGTGAACGATTATTTTCACCAAAAAAAAAAATATAAATATTATACAAACAACATTGAATGATTCATCGCTGTCCTTCATATCATCATATCTCTTTCCTATCAATATTATAAATTGATTAGTATGCTGAAATCACATTTGGACAATTCTATTTCCACATTAGTTTTAGTTTCCTACAATATTTCAAATATATCAAATTCATATATAAAAACTAAAATGAAAAAAAAAAAGAAAGAAAGAAAAAGTAAGCAAGGCACTTAGGGATGGCAAGGGGGTGGGGCGGGGATTCCATTCCCCATCCCTATCTCCTGTGCATTTTTCATTCCCTATCCCCACTTAAAATTTTGTCAGAATCCCCATACCCGCCTCCCGACACCTTATCCTTGTCCCTGCCCTGCCCCGCCCCCGGCCCAGTCCTCATAATTTTTTTTATTAAAAAAAAAACATTTTTTTTTCTTATTTTCATATATATAATAAATTTAATTTAGTAATAAATTATTATATGTAAGGATATATTAGTAACTTCATACTTAATCGGGGCGGGGCGGGTTTACCCCATCCCCGGCCCCGGCAGAGATTCATAATTTGTCCTCATCCCTATCCCTGTTTAGCTAAAAGGATTCCCATTCCTGCTATAAAAGGGGCGGGGCGGGGCCTCGGCGGAGACGGGAAATTTGCCATCCCTAAAGGCCCTGGTAACCATGAATAAACAAGCTACTATATATGTGTTATAAAACACAAATGAAGTGAATACACGCTATCATGCAAACCGCGTTGAAGGGAACTAATTACATTGAGGCTCGGTTTGCTGTTGGATGTAAAGTATTTTTTAAAAAATATTTTTATTTTTTGTTTTTTTATTATTATTGTTATCGTTGGTAAGAAACTCACACACATCACACTTTACTTTTTTGGAAATTCGAAATTTCACCATTCACTTTGGAAGGTAGAGGAGATACACTAGGCCACAAGACCCTTGGTATTTGGTTACTGTAAAATATTTAGAAATATATATATATTAAAAATTAATAAAAACAACTTATTCAATAATTTTCAACAAATTATTTTACATATATTGTCGGATGGACTCGACCTCAACTTCAATCTATACCTTTGTAAAACACCTAAAAAAAAAAAAAAGAGATAAAGTTAAGACCTAAGTTACACAATTCGTCGAAAAAGGCCTCGCTCTCAAGCTCCGTATGCGAATTTGCAATTTGAGAGCGAATTCGCACAAAGTCCGCAAATTCAATTTTTGCAATTCACAAATTTGTTCTCCTAATTCGCGAATTTGTTTTCCTAATTCGTGATTTTCATACGAATTTACTTTATACAACTAAATTTATTAAAACCCTAGTGATATGGAACATCTATATTACCATATATGCATTTATTACTTATACTATTACTCAACATATACATTAATTACTTAAATTTCACCAGCTATATCTCATTGCTATATTACCATAAATAAATATATATATATATTAATTATAATATATGTTTGAAAATATACTCCTAAAAAACTTCCCAATTGGACAATATTACAAATAAATCAAGTTAGCTTATTTATTACATATAAAAATGAATATATTTGCATATGGATTTAAATGAAAAAATGTATATAAATATATATGTCATTACTTGATATAATTTTATTTAAATTTAATATAAAGACGTTCTTAAGACGCTTATGCTTTTAAAAATTTTAGACTTTAGACTTTGACGCTTTCGCTCCCGCTCTGTGTGACTTTAGGTTAAGATTAGGAGTGATAAATTGGTCTATTTAAAAATTTTATTTTGTCATTTTGATTGAGTTAGGCAAAGTAATTATACATGTATTGAGAATTATTGTTTAGGTCTAAAATTCCCTCCAAACTCTTATCTCAAGATACTAAATTATCACTCTTAAATCAAATAATTTTTATTTTATTTTAAAAAAAATTAAATGTCGAACTTAATCTAAAACTCCATTGAAAAGGAATAAATATATATATATATATATATGTCACTCTTGCTGGATCCAAAGTTTTCTAAGTACAAATATAATATGTATGATAAAAAATTGACTTAGCTGCAGCCCTGCAGCGCGGGGGATATTCAAGGGAAGCCCTGCAGCGTGGGGCATATTCAAGGGAAAGCATATGAAACCTTGGACGAATTTTTTTTTAAAAATTTGACGTAGCTAAGGTCATTGCAATTGATCCTTTCTGCGATATATGAGTTATTTGGAACAAGAAGCCCTTGATCACTTCCCTGCAAAGTTAGTCCCTTAAAGCATCTCCAAACGTTATTTTCAGCTGAATCTATATTTTGACAGGTATTAAAATATTATATTTTAACAATTCTATTTTAATGATAAAATATTATTTTTTGATATAACCACTATTCTTTTTTAATTACCATTCCCACCATTCATATTTGTATCAGTAATATTAATATTAGGCACATTCTAAGTCAAGTTGTAGACATCAGAAGGAAACTAAAATTAAACCTAATTAAAAAAAAACAAAAATCTAAAATATCTTGTCAAAAAAGGACCAAAATATATATACATACATACATACACACACATATATATATATGTATGTATAAATTTATATATTTGATTATATTGTTATATAATTTTTTTTATATAAATTCTTTTTTCTTTTTCGAAAATTCATATATATTATATATATATATATATATATATATATATATATATATGTATGTATGTATATTATATATATTTGAGTATATTATTATTAAAAATATATTGCTCTCTCAACTCTCAAGCTTGGCCTCTCTCTCTGCAACTGCTAAATTGTATGTATGGGTTTTTTTTTTTAATTTTGTTCCTAAATCAACTAAATTGTATATGTGTGTGTGTGTGGGGTTGGTGTTTTATATTTGAGAAATTTTTTGACATTTTCAAATTTTGAGAGGTTAGATGAAAAGGCCATTGGAGTAGCTTTTTTAACCCATCTCTCAAATTATGGGTTTGAGAGCTCAAAATGAAAGAGCATTGGAGATGCTCTTAAGAGGAAAACACAAGACATATGCCCAAGATCTATATCGGAGATGCTCTTAAGAGGAAAACACAAGACATACGCCCAAAATCTATATTCTCCTAATCCCACTAGATCTCAATCACTCCCACCGATACTATACGAATAAATAAATAAAAATACGCACAGCCTTATAGTTCCCATTTAATATTAAGATAAGCTAAATCTTAATCAACTTGGTCCAAATTATCTGTATAAATATCTATAATTTAGAAATATATACCATATTATTCAATTGAAGGAAGAAAAAAAAAAAAAAAACTAGTTTACAAATTTCAAAACCTTTTGAAAATTTCACACCAATGTGCAATGTAATCATATCAACTATATACATACATGCTAATTTTCAGATCTGGACATATAGAAAGACAAGGCGCATGCACAAGATCTATACCCTCCAAAACCCCCACGATCTCAGTCACTCCAATTTATATATAAATAAAGAAATAAAAATACTCAGAGCCTTTAAATTCCCACCATAGACATACATATTATATTCAATTGGGAAAAAAAATTCTAGTATACAAATTTCAAAACCCTTTGTAAATTTCACTGCAATGTGCAATCTAATTATATCAACTATATACATGCATGTTAATTTTCAAAATTTTCAAGGCAGCATTCCGTCTAGCTAGAGACGTTAAACTTAGCAATCAT